AAATACATATATCCAGGAGGAGCAAATAGTCACGAGTAGGAAAAGAATCAGGAGAGAGAAGTGTGATTAAAAGAGAGTCTATCCAGGAAGAAAGAGTAGTCACAGTTTCAAATATAGTAGAAATGTCAAAAAGTATGAGGACCAAGGACTTGGTCCCCTACTTTGGAGAGAGCAGTCTCAGCTGAGTGATGAAATCAGAAGCCAGATGCATAGGATTGAGGAATGAATGAGAGGAGAGGAAGGACAAGCTCTTGAATTGAAAACAAGAGGGGAAGGAATCAAGGGTACATGTAGAGAGCTTGGCCTCAGCAAGGAGAAGGGACACTTCATTATCAGACACTAAAGGAGAGAGTAGAGATTGTGTAAGGGTCTTGAGATGAAGAGAAAAGTAAGAAGACAGAGCTTGTGGCAAATGTTCTGTTTTTCTCAGTAAAGCCCCTTAACAGAAAGCAAAAGAAAGATGCAGGAAGTTCGAGCACAGGAGAGAATAGTCCTGGCCCTCGAGTTGTTGATATTCTTTGTGGAAAGAGGGAAACATGCACAAATATAAATGTAATCTCAGCTTTCAAAGTCCCTCTCAGTTGAATCAAGTAAAGAATCATTTATTAAGCACCTATTATTATATGCCATGCATTCTACTGGGTGCAAATAATATGAATACTGTTACTGTATCTTTCCAGTTTGGCTGTCATTTATACTGTAAACTATTATGGGTGGAGAGAGACTGAGCAGAGTTAAAGAACTTAGGAAATGTTCTTTTTTAAGCGAGTTTGTATTCTATACAGAGAGAAAAGACTGAAGAAACCTTAACTGCCATCCTGAGAGAACTGAATACTGGTGCTATGATTCTTGAGTTAAGAAGTCATCAGTTGCAGTTGATGATAGAGGTCACTCTGGCTGTGCTCTTTTTCACTATGACACATTGTTGAACTATCTAAATATGTCTATATTATTTGTTACAGTGCTAATTACCTGTATAACCAGAAACATTAATGTTAATTTAAGTCCATGAAATTGGAGGTTTGAGAGAGAAAAGAGAGGAAACTTATTGGCCAAGAAGTTTCACTTACTTAATAAACTGGACTAGGGACTAAAGCTAATCGGTTAGTTACTAATCGAGATTGTCTGTGGAAAATAATGGGCCATATCTTCTTGATTTACAGAATGATAATACAGTAATGAGTAAAGCCACTAACTAAGGATTTAGTACGGTTGTGACTAGCTCATGCAGTTGTCACACTACACAGGATGATAATCATTCCCAAAACCCAATACAAAAATAAATAAATATATATGTACTAGGGTTTACTTTGCACATGTCCAGAACACCCAAAATTGAGGCAGCTGCTTGAAAAGAGTTCATAGGAAAGAGAGAGACTGATCCAGTCTGGCAGTTTTGTTTTGTTTCTTCTTTAAGACACAGTTGGCTCCAACTACACAGCCAATGAAAAAAGGTTCTACCACTCATATGGTAGGGAAGTGCAAGATGGTTTCTCCCAGAAGCAGGACTCTGGCATTTTACAAGTAGCTGATTCCATTTTAGGTGATCCCCAAATTGCATATGCAAAGCAAGACCTAATACATATATAAAACACATAAATATGAAATATTAGAGAGGGGATCAGAAAAGGTCTCAAATAGAAAATGCCACTTAAGCTGAGCTTTTAAGTAAACAAAAGGATTATAAGAAGTATAGTCAAGGAAAAAAATCTTTTCTAAGGCATGGGAACATGGGAAAATGATTTCTAGCCAGTGCAAAGGGAACAAAATATAAAATGCATGAAGAATAGCAAGAAGTCCAGCTTGTCAGGATCCTAAAATGCATTAAGGGAATAAGGAATGATGAAGTTGGAAGAGAAGATTGGAGAAAGGACTTTTGTATTTGCCTGAAAGGGTAATAGGAAGCCATTGGAGTTTAATAAGTAGAGGAATGACACAGTCAGATATACTATAAGCAAAGTTACTTGGTCAAAAATAAGATGGTGGAGTAGGGCAGTAACTCAGTCAAATTCTCTCAACATTCTCCTCCAAACAACTTTAAAATAATCCATTAAATTGAATTCTGGAGCAGCAAAACCAATAACAGGTCAGAGTGACACATTTTCCAACCCAAGACCAATTAGGAGATCAGCAGGATAGGTCCGTGACACTCAGGTAAAGGCAGGCCCAAATGATACATAGCCACAACTACCAGCAGTGGGCCTTGGAAGCAGGCATCTGTGGCAGCGGTGGCAGCCGCAGCAGCAGCTTCTCTGTCCAGAGACCATAAAGGGGTTGGGCAATTGGTTGGAAACAGATTACTGGGGACCCAGCACTAGCACGGGGTGCAGTACCCATTACTCAGCATTACCCATACTCAGTTCTGGGTCTCAGTTCCAGGCAGAGAGAAGCAATAGTATTTGTGGTCACAGGGGAGCAGGGGACCTGCTCATAGGTCCAGGGTCAAGAAGAATGCTACCACTTGCAGCTGCAGGGGATCAGGGTTTCTTCCTGGGTAAAGACCAGATTACAGACCAGGAGAGCAATCACCCCCTCCTTGGATTATAGTACCTTGAAAGCACTGAAAAAATTCCAGACCCTCAGAACTAGCTCTGAAAACAGCAGCTCAAAAAAGCCTGAAGCTTGGGATGGTCCCCTTCAGCCCTTGGGGGGAAAAAAAAATTTAACATGACTGAAAAAAATTAACAAACAACAACAAAAGGCTAATAAAAAAAATAAAGAGCTAGTGTGGTGTCAGGAAAGATCAAGACCCATACTCAGAAGAAGACAACAATTTAAAAACAGCTCCATGCAACATCTCAAAGAAAAAATGCAAACTGGACACATACCCAACAAGAATTCTTGGAAGATCTAAAGTAAGAGATTAAATTGTAGAGGAAAAAATGGGAAAAGAAATGAGAGTAATGCAAGAAAACTATGAAAATAAAATTACAGCTTGGTAAAAGAGGGAAAGAAAGAAAAGAAAAGAAAGAAAGAAAGAAAGAAAGAAAGAAAGAAAGAAAGAAAGAAAGAAAGAAAGAAAAAAGATAATGCCTTAAAACAAAACAGAATTAGCCAAATGTTTTACCTCTTTTAGAGGTACAAAAATTTGCTGAAGAAAGGAACTCCTTGAAAAGCAAAACAGGAGAAAAAAAAAAGCAAAACAGGCCAAATGATACAAAAAGATACAAAAGCCCTCCTTAAACATAGCTCCTCCTTGTGGCCATATTACTTGGCTCTGAGTCTCCCAGCCAAAGAGGATGAGGAGTGGGACAACTGGGAGAAAATGAAGAGACGGACCTACTGAGACAATGAGGAAAGAATGAGGGTCACAAGACAGCAGGAGAGGATAGAAAGTCATGAATGATAGTCATTTGACAATAGAGAATGGATGGGGGGGAGTCATGAATGCAAAGGCCCCAAAGGAAGGATCATTTTCTCCCCATACAAGGCTCCTAAAATATCTGCCTCTGTTTTAGCTCCCAAGGTCATGCCCAGCATGTTCCTCTTGAACTTCTTTTGCTTTGATATTGGCAGCAAATTGGTCCTGGACTATGTTTTTTCCCCACAACTATTAATATGACTTAAGATTACAGGCTTTGGAGTCACGGTAAGAAGCTACTTAAGATCCATGATCCAGATATAAATCTGAAATGGACGTTATCTAGTCCAGCACTTCTTAAATTGTGGGTCACAATCCCATATGGGGTCACATAACCAAATGTGGGAGTCACAAAAAATTTGGCAACAGTAAAAGGTTTCTGAACATGCAACAACAAAAAATTAATTCAAAATCAAACACGTAATGAATCTGAGGTGTTTCTTGCCCATGTTGCATTGCACAACTTCACTGCAGCCCTGATTCTTAACACACAACACAAGCACTTTGCACTGTGCATGCCATCACTCCACACAACACCGACAAACACTACCAGAAACACCTTGGCTCAGATTTGAGACTATCATATGTTATGAATTGGCATGCAAAGTTTTCTGTTCTTATAGAAACATAATAGTTTAATTATGGAAAATCAAGACTTTTAATATTTTCCTACTGTCATTCCTCAGCATGTAACTATCAAATTATTATATCTTTGGATTGTATTGTGTTAGAATGTTTTGTTTTTTTAAATCCCTGTCATTGCTTTCTTTTAAAAAACATAAGTGTTTAATTGCAGCAAGTAAAGCCCTTTAATAATATTTCTCCACCATCACCTCTGTGAATGTAAGTGTGAACATCAGTTTTTAAAGTAAGCACAAACAAATGTAATTTCATAAGCTAAAGCTAGTATTTATTTGAGAAATGATTAGCAATATTTACTTACATTTTAGGAAAAAAAATTTTCAGTTATGAACAAGTGGCTAAATTTAGACAAAAGAGGTAAAAATACTGATGACAATGTGGCAGAGTTTTTGCTACCAAGTTGTAGTATACTTAAATTGACAAGAAAAAGAAAATATGTCAAATCATTTTTGCAATATGGATTTACTTCTAATAATGATGGTGATGTGGAAAACCTCTTTGGTTAATTTGTTATGAAGTTTTGGCTGCAAAAAGCATGACACCAGCCATACCAAAATGACATCTTATAACAAGCGTGCAACATACCACAGTAAACCAAAGGAATATTTTGAATGACTTTTAAAAAGTTCAAATAAAGAAAAAAATGTTTTGAGAAATCTGTTACTGTCAAGGAAAAGTATTTACTTGCAGTTTGTGAAACTTATTTAATTGCAAAAACTAAAAAGCCCTACACAATAGGAGAAGATCTACCTGCTGTTATTAAAATGTTAGAAATAGTTCATAGGAAAAAGTATGGGAACAAAATCCATAAAATTCCTTTATCAAATGATACTGTTTTCAAAAGAATTTCTGAAATTAGTAATGACCAATTCCAGCAGCTTATTACCAGGCTTAAGTGCAGCCCAAAGTTCGCAATTCAGTTAGATGAAACACCTTATATTACTAACATGGCACAGTTGTTAACTTCATGTAAGATACGTTTATGAAGGAAGCATACCTGAGGAATTATTGCTTTTGTCACCCTTTGGAAGGACACACAAGAGGGGAAGATATATATCTTAAAGTCGATGAGTTTTTCACAAATGAAAGTTTACAGTGGAAAAGTTGTGTTGGAGTCCGGACAGATGGTGCTAGAGCAATGATGGGCAAGAATGTTGGATTTGTAGCAAAAGTTAAAGCTGGTGGCAATGAACATTTGCTTTTACTCACTGCATGATCCATCATGAGGCACTCAAAGACAAAAAAAAAATATTACCAGAGTTAGATATTGTACTTCCTGATACTATGAAAATCATTAATTTCATTAAAAGCCGTGCCCTTAACAGTTGTTTGTTTTCAAACCTTTGGAAAGACATGGACTCCAATTACAAAAGCTTATTGCTACATGCAGAGGTAAGGTAGCTCTCATGAGGAAGAAGTTTAAACAGATTATTGAAATTGAAAGATGAAGTTATATTTTTAACTGAGCAGAAATCTAATTTTGTTATTTTTTTCATAATGACTTAAGGCTTTCAAAACTGTGTTATTTGTTGGATATGTTCAAAAAAACAATTATTTAAACATGTCACTTTAAGGAAAAAATTGTAACATGTTAATATTAAAAGGTAAAATTGAAAGTTTTACTAAAAAAAAGTTAACATATGGAAGAACAGGGCGGAAAATAGTTCTTTAGAAATGTTTACAGCTATAGATGATCTCATAATTGAAAATAACCTTCCCAAAGATTTAATTGTAAGAGTTATAATCGATCATCTGAAGTGCCTGGAGACACAGTTTTAGAAATACTTCCCTAGAAATTTTGATTCTAAAAACTAAGTTGGATTCATAAGCCACACTCAATTGAAATCAAAAACATGACTTATCTGCCATTAAAAGTTCAAGAATAATTTGCTGAGTCATCAAGAGACACAGGTTTAAAACTTGAGTTTCCTAAAAAAATCATTAAATGAATTCTGGCTTGGGATTAGAATAGAATTTCCAATAATTTCTGACATGGCCCAAAACATACTTCTGCTGTTTTATACTATGTATTTATGCAAAGCAGTGTTCTCAGCATTGATGATTATAAAATCAAAATAGCAATCAACTCTGAAAAACGTTGAAGATGCTCTATGTTCTGCAGTGTCCAATATTTTGCCAAGATTTAATGCTTTGTGTAAAAATAAACAAGCATATCCATCTCACTAGTATGCAAATTTGCTTTCATCTTTAATAGATGGTAAAACTATACGTATACCCAAAGAATTGTTTTAAAATAAATTTCTTTATGATCTATTATAAGTAAATGTTTGATTTGTATACCTATTTTATATACCTATATACCTGGGGTTGCGTAAAAATTTCTTGGGTGAAAAGAAGTCACAAGTGGAAAAAGTTCAAGAAGTCGTGATGTAGTCTAACCTTCTCATTTTAGAGACAAGGAAACTGGCCTAGAGAAAATTAAGTGATTTGTTGTATTATATAAGATCATAGTTTTGGAACTAGAAAGGATCATCTAGAAAGCTCCTCTAGAAATCCATTTTAGAGATTAGGAAAATGAGACTAAATGGCTCAGGTAAAGTCAAACAGATAGTAAGTGGCTGAGCCAAAATCTGAACCCAAGTCCTCTGACTCCAAATCCACTGCTTATGCTACTATTCCACCCTCTCTTACTGGAGCCTTACAAAAACCTATGAAGGAACTCTAGCCAGATGATGGTGTTCAGCTAAGAAATTCTCACATTCATGGAAAATACAAAATGATGGAAGGTCATTGCCCTTACCTAATAGTTGAAAGTTGGAACAATTTGCTAGTTTGCAAAAGAGCCCTAGAAAAAAATGATTAAGGTCTTGCAAAGACAATACACCATGACTACTTATTGCTCATAGGGTAGTTGACAGAACTTCCTGACGATTAGGACAAGAATGATAAAGAGTCAGCCAAACAGGTTCTCAGAAGGGCATGTCTAGAAGTCACAAATGGACTATTGTAGCTAAACAATGATTGGAGAGTTATTTGAATGAAGAGAAATTAACATTTGTACCTTACTGATGTCATGAAATTTAAATGATCTGAGGGAGATCTTTGCTTGAATGGGTTGTATGTAAGTATAATATATTAATAATATATTATATTACATATGATCCATGTACTTGTTCAACAGTATGCTTCTTTGCTATAGATACAGCTTTGTTGCATGTGCTACTGCTACATGCATACAAGTTGTTGAAATAGCTAGCATTCATATGCCATTTTAAGGTTTGCAAAACTCTCTACAAATATTATCACATTTTATCTTCACAACAATTCTGGGAGATAAGTGCTATTATTACCCCCATTTTATAGATGAGGACCCTGAGGTAAATGGAGGTTAAATGACTTACCCAGGGTCATACAGCCAGTCATATTTGAACTCAGGTCTTCCTGAATCCAGTTCTAGTACTCTAGCCATTTAGTGACCAACAAATATCTCATGCTGTCTATTATATATTGCATACAACCTACTTCGTTGGTCTACAGTATGTAACTCTGCCATAAATACTTTATGTAATAATAATAATAATAATTGCAGAATTTACATAGCACTTTACAAATATTATCTCACTTTATCCTCACACTCTGGGAGGTAAATGCAGAGAGAGGTTAACTGACTTGCCGAGGGTCAAACAACTAATAAGTATCTAAGGCCAAATTTGAACTCAGGTCTTCTTCACTGCAGGTCTAGTATTCTACCCACTGTGCCACTTGGCAGCCTCTAGTATTATGTTTCTGCATGTGCCCTGTATGTGCTGTCTGTGTCCATGCACACTTAGATTTTTTTCTTAATCTTCTTCCATCCTAACACTCTGCATGAACCGTTTGGACTCTGCTACTCTGCGATGAGGTCATTGCTCAGTAGTTCCCTCAGGAACTTCTTGTAGTCTTCCATTTCAGAAAGACAAATTTTCCAAAACTGCTCTTGAAATCATTGTTGATTGATAAATTAAATTGTGTGCATTGCTCCATGCTCACATTCCACCTCCCCATTCATGTAGCAAAAAAATGCCAGCTTTCCACCAGAAGACACCAATTTCACTTTTGGATAACTCTAATTGTTTGGAAGATTTTTACTACTTTAAGCCAAGCAGAATAAGTCTAATCTCTCAAGCACATGATAGTGCTTCAAATATTTGAAACACCTACCTCATTCTTTCCTAAGTCTTTTCTTCTCTAGGTTAGACAGTCAGTTAACAAGAATTTATTAAATTCTTATTATGTTAAGGTTAAGGAATAGGAGGGCAAGGTAACAGGTAGAAGTAAAGTAGAGGAGTGAAGAGGTATAAGAATAGGGTGAGGAGGATAGTGAGGAAAATAGGAAAGAGCAAAATATAGAACAAGTAATTATACTTTAGAATGTGAATAGGATCAACTTACCCATAAAATAGAAATGGATAGCAGATTAAAATTTTGAATTCAACAATAGGTTACTTTTAGGAAATGCTGTAAAAATGAGAGATACACACAAACATAAAGTTCAGCAGTAGAATTTATTATGTAAAAAAAGCAGGAATAGTAATCATGATCTCAAAGATAAAGCTAAAATCAGATTTAATTAAAAGATAAAACAGGGAAACTGCACTGTGTGCCATATTAATCAATAGTTTTGGACCTTATCAAATAACTAGGCGGTATAAAAAATGAGAGTATGCCTGCTAAAACAGAGGAATTATACAAATGTAAGTACAAAACACCTTTTATACAAACAAAGTTAGATATAAATAATTGAAATAATACTTATTGTGCATGGGCATGTAAAGCTAACATAATGGGAAAAAATGATAATTTTACCTAACAAACCTATTTATAAAATACCACCCCAATTAAATTACTAATAAAAAAAAATTTTAGGCTGTCCTGGGCCCCTCCCTAAAATGGAAGTCCTAGGAGGAACTTACCAATGGAGAAGGGGGCTACAGAGGCAGAGAGTTGTTCTAGGGCAAGAAAGTTACAGCTTCTGAATGAAATTCTAGGGTTAAAGGCAGCTGAAGCATGATGGCAAAGTCTTGAGTGTCAGAAGCAGAGATAGGGGAGGAATAAATAAATATCCCCAGTTCCTTCAACTGATCTTCATAAGACATTGTTTCCAGTGTCCCCATCATCATGGTTGCCCTCTTCTGAACATACTCCAATTTGTCAATATCAGTCATCAAATGTGACATCAAGAATTAGACACCTTATTTCAAATGTCATCTGGCCAGGGAAAGTTCTATAGCAATGAACTGTCACTTATATTCTGGACACCATGTCTCAATTAATGCAGCCTGGCTGTATTCATTTTTTGACTGGCATATCACTATTAGCTAAACTTCTCCAACTTCTTTTTGTTCCATTGACTAAACCTAAGTGTAGAATTTTACGTTTTTCCATATTAAATTCTATCTTTTTAAAAGAAAAGGAACATGATATATTGGATATAATCTTGGACATGAAGTCAGGAAGATCTGGATTCAAATCTTGCCTTTGACACCAACTAGTCCTGAGGTCCAAGTCAAATCACAACCTCTCTGAGCCTTACACAACTCCCTAGAATTTATCTACTATATAATTGACAATTAGTTTCTCCCTTGGTATCTGGAGTTCCCACAAAGGGAATTTCCCCATACAGAATCAGGTAAATTTTTAGTCTGCTAAGATCTTTTTGAATCCCGTCTCTGACATGTTAAGTATTTCTCCTATCTTTGCGACATCTGAAAACTTGATAAGCATTCCATCTATGTCTCAATCCAAATTATTGATAAAAATGTTGATTACAGTTGAGTCCAAGACACTTCACTAGAAACTTCCCTCTTCATGAACATTGATCCACAAATCACTGTGCTTTGTGTTTGAGCATTCAACCAATTCTAAATCTACTTACTATAGCTATAAATATAAATATCTATCTATCTAGTCCAGAAAGATGGTGTGAAAGAATTTGTAGTCCCTTGATCTGATAAGCCTGCCAAAAAAGGAAGTGGAGTTAGTTTATCATGACCTCTTTTAGCTGGCCCTTTGTAATCATCACTTCCTCTAAAAAATGCTCATAAACCATTCCTTTCAATGGTGTTTTCTAGAATTTTGCCAACTAACTTAAAGAATTCAGCCTCTGTCGTTTTTGGTAAACTAGAACATTTGCCACTTTCTAGTCCTATAGGATCTCTCTTGTTATCTAGTGTCTTCAAAGATCACTGACAGCCTATCTACAGTTAGATTTGCCAATTCTTTCAGTACCCTGAAATGTATATAGTTCATTTGGGCCTGGTAACAAATTCTTTAAAGGCAGTTTTCTTGTTATCTCCTTTTCTCTTAGATCTCAACCCCCTCAACTCAACAATGTTTTCCCTACTGGTCCCAATCTGTAGATTTTTTGGTTTAAAAAAAAAAAAGCAAACTGTTGTTTTTGTTGAGTACTTCTGCCTGCTCTCCTTTCTCAATTATCCTCATCTGTCCCATTTACCTCCAAGAAACAGTCCTATCTTTTCTTTTCCCTTATTCTTTGACTAAGTTCTAAGAGTAGAGAATAGACCAGGATCATCATTCTTATAATGGGTCCCCCTTCCATATAAGATCATTTTCCTCAGACTTGCCCTAGAAACAGCCAGAGGGAAGAAAAGGCAAGAGAAAAAAAAAGCAAAGAAAATTAGATTTGGCAACCCGACTTTATTGATCCCTCTTCGGTGTCTAGCCCTGTGAGCAGCTATACTTCAGAGACAAGGCTTTTCCCTCAGGAAGTTCACTAGAGTTGAAATGGACTTGGGATTGGGCAGAGATGAAGATTGAAAATGAAACAAGACAGGACACAAATTATCAAACTGTGGTGTAGATCCTTATTTCCAAACAGTCCTGAGAAATGACAAAAAGCCAATACTAGAGATGTTTCTTTCTAAAATATAAAAAAGGAAAATTATTTCAACATAAAAATAGGTTAACTTCTTCTATTTTGCTTCAAAATTTCCCCATGCTTCAGACCTCAAACACTAACCTTCAATTTTCAGTCTTGAAATATGTCAGTGAATTTCAAGTCCCAAGGGAGTAGCAGGTCACTGAAGACAAAGTCCATGGCTGGTGATAGCTCCTGATGTCTGTCTACCAAAGCCTCTGGGGACTGAGGAACTGCAAAGTTTTGACCCTGTTAGAAAAGTGTTGTGTCTTTTTTTCCTCTTCTCAAAAAGGAGTTGAGAAGAACTGAAATCTTGTTAGAGATGGAAAATGAGCAGTGGGACTTCTTGTGCATACACATACCACTGAGAGAAAAGGTGGAAGATCTGGATACCTCACAGTATCACAACCACTGCTGCTATAGCCACTGCCATGACCATGAATTTACAAGAGAAGGAAGGCTGAGGACAAGAGGGCAGTAACGATAGCTGTATCCTATCTGAGGATAACCACAATGGGACTGTCACCCCAATCTATTTCCTGCTGGCTCCCTCTCTGAGCCTGTTTTCCATTGCCTTGCTTGTGTGTTGTTGCTGTTGTTGTTGTTGCAGAGAGACAAATTTCTGTAGGGGACTATTCTGTGTATCTATATGTATATCCTTGTTGGGATTAAAGGAACTTGAGGAGCCCATTGTGATCACTCTGAAACCCAAACAGGGAGAAGTAAAATCTCCTTCTAAATCACTGGGGATAAATGCAGAGGGATCTATGTGAACCAATGAGATTTTACTAAGAAAAATTAGAACCTTGCCCCAAAAAAAAACAAGGAAAAGAAAAAGCGATGTAAATCCAGACCTAATGGATTCCAGTGGGCAAAAGAAATTAGCTAATCAATTGTGTATAGGGAAAAAAACCATAAGGAACTTCCTTGGAGACAGTACCCTGAAAAAAATTCCCTTTCCCATTGTTCCTTCTTGGACAGACTAAAGAGCATCATCTTTCTCTCCCCTCTGTCAAAGTGGAAGATAATGACTATAGAGAAAGTTGAAGTCTGAAGGGAAGAGTTGGAAAAGAATGATACCACTCACTTGAGAGTAGGGGCTAGAGAGAGGGAGTAGTTTTCCACTTCAACTAAAACCCTCCAACCCTTAGACACTGCTAAAGAAACAATGAAATTGTGTGTGTGTGTGTGTGTGTGTGTGTGTGTGTGTGTGTGTGAGGGGAGAGAGAGAGAGAGAGAGAGAGAGAGAGAGAGAGAGAGAGAGAGAGAGAGGGAGGGAGAGACTTTTAAGTGCTATACAAATATGAGAGGAGGAAGGGAAATTAATTCAATTAAACATATATTTATTGTGTACTTTTTTCAAACTAAATTCTTTGAAGCTGGGGTATACAATGATCAAAAAAAAGTCTCCTTAAAAACCTTAAATTCTAACGCAGGAGGAGAAGAAGGAGAAAGAGAAGTGGAAGCAGGTGAGAAAATGGAGCAGAGTCTGCGAGCTGGAAAAATAAGGAAATCTTCATAAGACACTGAGCACTGAAAATTGGGGAGGAAATAGTAATGAGGAGTGTGGTTAGAAGAAATACTGTAAACAGTTCCTGCTGTTATTTGTCAGATAGGGGAGCAATAGCACAGATGCTTCCTATGACTACAACTGCCCACATTTCAGTCTTAGAACTCTTGTTCTAAGTACACAAAGGAAAAACTACTCCAGAGAACTCATTCTCTTAGGGATGACTTAGGGAAATCCTTAGTGGAGAGAAAGTTGATTTAGAGTACGGGACTCTCTCCTCCATCTCTACCCATATAGACACTCAGTCTCACAAAAATGTATACAAGAAGACACACATTGGACCACTTTCTCCTTTGAACAAAGGGACGATTTCCCCCAGAGGACTCCTAGTAGGGTAGGCATAAAATGAAATACTCTTCAGTGGAGCTCTGTCCATCATTGTCCAGCCCCTGCTCCTTCCAACTTGGAAGGGGCCAGACAATGACCTCTAGGCCAGGTATTCCTCAACAGACATTGCCTAAAAGTTTGGCCCATTGATCACAAACTTGCAGCTCTATGTATAGGCTTAGTCCCACAAGCCTGACCCACAGAGGCTGCTGACAATATAGCTAGTCTAGTTATGTAGGAAGTAGCCAGCTTCATAAGAACATAAATAACTGTATCCATCATTTCTTTTGCCAACATGATAAGTTCGAAATAGAAATAAAAGAAGTGTCAAAGACCATTCAAGTCATTCTGCACATATCTGATATGTCTGTCTTTGGTCTAGGTACGTTTACCCCAACATCCTAGTGCCTTCTCTACCACTTCACTGACCTGAGTGGTCACCTCCTTGTCCATAGAAATCCTCCATCACCTAATCCCTGAACCCTCCCTTTGTTCTTCCTTTTGTGTCCCTAACAGTCTCTGGGTGTCTCTAGCTCTTCATCTCTAACCTCGTGTTTGTGTCTATAACTCTGAGACTCTATCCCCGTTTCCCTGTTGGGGAGGCCTGTAGTGGGCCCAACTTGCATTTCCTACCACCACCACCACCTTCACCTACCACCCCCACTACCATCACAATAACAAACAGGCCCAAGCCTCATACACCTGGCCCAGCCACAGCCAGAACCACAAAGCAGACATGACGTGGAGGACAGGCTGGGTCAGCGAAGGCAGGAAGTCAGGGAGAGTGACCACTGAGCCCCTCTGATGATCTGGAGCCTGAGCCTATGGGTGGAAGAGGGAGGGAGAAAGAGAGGTCAGGTGTTAGAGCAAAAGATCTCTAAGACTATCCTTCCTGGGCAGATGGACAGACACAGGCGAGGGGCAAGGACACAACTCAGGTAATCCTTGTCTCACCATTTTCCCCAGAACCAGGCCCTAGTACCCAAATAGAAGGGGAAAGATACTAAGGAAGAAGTTGGAGGAACTCTATACTAGAAACTCAGATATTTGGGGAGGAAGAGACAGAGAAGAGAAAAGAGGGAGGGAGGACAGAAGAAGAGGAAGGAAATTTTTATTTGGGGGGGAATTCTATGAGGAATCAAGAAGAAAAGCCTTTCTGAGTTTGATTTAAGAGAATTCAAGAGGCCTGCTTTTTCAAAAACTTGTTGTATGAACTTTAAAAGGTTATTTTCCCTTCTCTGGGGCTCATTTTATTCATCCAAAATTAAGACTCTGGACTTCCAGCTTGATATTCCACAATTCTGTTTCTCCTCATGATGTGCTGGAGAGAAAAGAGTGCTGGATAGCAGAGATCTACTCCTAACAATTTTCATCCAAGTTGTAGCAAATGGGGGACCAAAAAGACAAAGGAGAAAGAGACAAGATGTTTGAAAAGATATGGAAACTGTGAGGCCTATGAGGATTCTGAGGAATATAAGGACTAATGAGGGTAGGAAGACAAAAGGATGTGAGAACTGGGAACCGCGAGGGATGGGAGAGAGCTGAGAGGATGGAAGGGGCAGGAGGACTCAATGAGGGGGCAGTTCAGTGCTGGCTCATAGAAGAGGATTCAAAACATTCTTGTTGACTGAGAGAGTTGGGAGTTCTGTGAGGAATCTGAGGACTTTGAATTTTGAGAAGAATGGGACAGTTGAGAAGCATAGAAGGAATATGAGGACTGGTGAGAGCTCTGAAAGCTGTGATGGATTTGAATACTGGTGAGCACTGTGAGAGTTTGTGCTAGCCTGGGGGAAATGCTGTATTTGGAGCTAGAAGACTGGGTTCAAATATTTATTCTGAGCTTAAACAAGTCACTTAAACTCCAGCTCCTCATCTGTAAAGTGAAGGGGTTGAACTTGATGACACCTAATGTCCCTTCCATCTCTAAATCAATGATCAGACAACTGAGTGGTGTGAGAGGTATGATGGATGGGAGAGAAGAAAGAGATGGAAGGGATGTAAGGAAGGTGAAGGAAGAATAGGAGAGATATGAGGACTTATGGAATATAGAAGGAGTGTGAGAGCTTGAGGAATGTAAAGAGCAGTAAAAATTGTAGGACTGTAAGGGATATAGGAATATTTTTAAAGTGTTTTGAATTTAAATGAATTTAAATTCGCATTTTAAAAATATTTATTCAGTACCTACTGTGTGTACAATACTAGACTTTAGTGCCGGGGAAAATACAAAGGCAGATAGGACACTATATGTAGTTTCATAAAATTTACAGTCAAGTAGAGAGTGAAACAAACACAAAGAATTAGAATACAAAATATTACATGGGTGGGAGTGATCTGAAGATGAGTTGAACTTCAAAAGATGAATGTGAATTTAAGAAGCAGGGGCAGAGAAGTTGAAGGACTGGGAAAGACATATCAAGCTTAGGAAAGAGTAAAGCAAAGGGAAAAGTCCAGTTTGACTACAGCTGAGACTGTTCATTCAGGGAGATATGAGCTAAGGCTAGATAAGGGTAGAGGCAAACTGTGGAGGTCCTTCTTGAGAAGCCAGGCCAAAGAGAATGAGATTATTCAGTAGGTAATAAAGAGTGACTGAAAGGTTTGAGCTGAGAAATTATATGACCAAATCTATGCATAAGAAATGTGAGTAATGGATTGATTGCGGAACAAATGGAGATAGCAAAACTTGTTGGGAGATTATGAGAGTTAATTCAATTCAGGTCAGTTCAGCAAAAATATATTAAGTAGCTAACATGTGCAAGGCACTATACTAGACAGTAAGGATATTAAAACAAGACCAAAATTGTCCTTGCTTTCAAGGCATTTACATTTTACTGACATGATAGGACATGCACAAATAAGGAACTACAAAGTGATTTCAAGAGGGAGAGAGAGTCTTAACAACTAGGGGGATCAGAGAAGGCCTGATAGAGGAGGAAGTACCTGAATTGTCCTTTATAGAAAGCTATTGATTTTAAGAGGCAGGAGTGAGGAAGGAATAAATTCCAGACATGAGACATCACCTGGGCAAAGGTATCAAGGCAAAAGAAATATATTGTATGGCCAATAGGAAATAGGCTACTTTGGCCAGAACAGGGAGAGTGAAGGAGAATAAAGCATAATAACTCTGGGAAAAATAAGTAGGCTGCAGGCAGACAATAAAGAGCTTTCACTGACAAACAGAGGAATTTCTATTTATCATCTAGGCTAATAGTGTCAAACAAATAAAAAGGGATCCCAGAAAATCACAAATTAACATTATCTATGTTGTATTGTATCTTTATTTTGTTAAACATTTCCCAATTACATTTTAATCTGGTTTGAGCCTGCAAATGTGGAGTTTTGCAAGCTGCGTGAGCCCGAAGCTTGCTCTGCTTTAAGCAGTAGAGAATAACTCAGCTTCCTTCCTGAACAGGGTAGTGACACAGTCAGATCTATGCTTTAGGACTATTGCGTTGGTATCTTTGTAAAGTATAGAATGGAGAGAACTAGTAAAAAAAAGAGAGAATTTATAAGACTGCAACTGAGTAACTACAATGGGGGAGAGAGAAAAAAGAATCAATGATGATGGAGGTTGTAGAATGACTGAGAAAGACGGTTGTGCCATCAACAGAAATAGTTTAGTGGAAGGATAGGTTTTGGAGGAAATGAGTTCATTTTTAGAGTCTGAGACAGCTGTAAGACTTCCAGCAGGAGTTGCTTAGCAGACAGTTAGTAAGGTGAAACTGCAAACCAGGAAAGTTACTAGGGCTGTCTATATAGGTTTGGGAGTCATCTGTGTAAAGAGGTTGTTGAACTCAAGACTAGATGAGATTCCCAAGGATAGAGTCACAGAATCTCAGAGTTAGAAGAAACCTTAGAGGCAACATTTAATAAGAACCCTCTAATATACCTTACAAGGAGTTATCCAGTTTTCGTTCAGATATTTTCTGTGAAGGCAAGTCCACATTTTTCAACATTTCTAATAGCTTTCCTTATACCAAGTACAAATCTGCATCTTCCAGAGAACATGATATTCTGGATGTGGTCAGAACAAGGTAGAAAAGAGTGGTACTGTCACCTTCTCAGACCTAGTGTCAATGCTGCATAAGATCGTGTACTGGAACTCACACTTTATCAGTACCTGCTACAGCTGGAGCCTCTCCCTCTGTTTGGAGGGTGGAAAACTCCTCCTAGAACCACCATTGAAAGAGGGAGTCCAGATCAGCTACCTCTTCATTTTCCACTTCGCTCTGCACTCCTCTGGACTTCTCCATAGTGCCCCCTAGATGGGCAACTTCCCTCTTCCCCCTCTCTTTTCAACTTCCTTTTGTGTGCTGTCTTTCCTCACTAAAAAGTTCCATGAGGGCAAGAACTATTTTTTACTTTTCTTTGTATCCTCAGTGCTTAGCATAGTTACTGGCATACGGCTGACATTAAGTAAATATTTACTAACAGACTTGACCACGATATCACAATGTTGATACATATTGAGCTTGCAGTCTACTTAAATCATCAAATCTTTTTCAGAAATATAACTCCTGTCTAGCCATGTCTCCCCTAACTAGTACTTAAGTTAATTTTTTTGCCCAAGTATAAGACTTCATATTTATTATTATTAAATTTCATCGTAATGGATTTGGCCCAGTATCTAAGCCCATTAATATTTTTAACATCCTAATTGTTGTAGGCTGTATTAGCTAACCCTCTAGGCTTTATGTCATCTGAAAATTTTATAAGTATGCCATCTATGCTTTATCTACGTCATTGTTAAAAAATTTTGTACTGCTCAGTCCCACACAAGTCACGGGCAATTCATTAAGGAGCTAGTTTCAGGTTAACATTAAACCATCAATTACTGCTTTTGAGTCCATCCATTCAATCAGTTCTGAATCCAACTAATTATAGTATTATCTAGCCCACAACTCTCCATCCTGTCTACAAGAATAATGCGAAAGAATCTGTTAAATGCTTTTATAGTCTTCAAGTAAACTATATCTTAGGCATTCCTTTGGCCTGTCTAATAATCTTTTCAAAATAGTCTGGCATGACCACTCTTAATGAAGTCCTGCTGGCTCTTGTGATAACTATTTCCTTTTCTACATATTCACTAATCATTTGTTTAATGATATATTCCAGAATTTTACCAGGATTCCAGGTCAAGCACAGATGCTTAGAGTTTGCAGGCCCCATTTTCTTCCCTTTAAAAGAAAAAACAGGGCAGTTTTTACCCTTCTCCAGTCCTGAGGTGTCTCTTCATTTCTCCATGTGGCTTAGCAATCATATCATGCACCTTCTTTCAGTATCCTGGAATATAGTTCAGTTGGGTAACTTCATCAAGGACAGGTGGGTACTTCCTTACTATCTCCCTAGACCTAGTGCAATAAAAGTAATGGCAGTGCAACGAGAGAAGTAAGAATGTATGTATTTGATGCTGTGAAAAGTGTATCTGAAGACCTTGGTAACTGATTAGGCATGAGGTGAGGAAGAGAAAAGATTCATAGATAACCACAAGAGAGTGAAAATGGGAGAGTGAATGTCTGTGTTACAGACCTATAGCAATGAAATTCAAAGGATGAGCACATTTTGGACACGTCGAGATGGAGTGACCAGTTGGAAATACAGTTAGAAATGTTCCATAGGCAGTCTGGAAAACCTTAGAAGAGAGATCAGGTAGTCTGTATAGATTTGGGAGTTATGAAGATTGAATCATTATAATAATAATAATACCTTATCTTTATATAGTGCTTTAAAGTTTGTAAAGCCCTTCATATATATATCCCATTTGATAGTAGTGGAAGTCATGATGCCAAGAGAAAGAGAATAGAGAGAAGAAAGCCAAGGGCAAAAGCTTAAAGGACAAGGGGGCAATGAGGGAGAGAGGGAAAATAATCTGTTGATTATTTCCAATTTCTCTTGTATATAGCTTTTTTGTACATAGTTGTTTGCATTTTGTCTCTTTTGTTAGACTGGGACTTCCTTAAGAGCAGGGATGATCTTTTGCCTTTCTTTGTATCCCCAAACACTTAGCACAATACCTGGCACATAGCAGGAACTTAACAGATGTTTACTGATTGACTGACAGAGGTAGGAACAAAACCAGAAATTGGCCATCTCTGAGCAAGGAGAAAGTATACAGAAGGATGGCATAGCCAATAGACGAGAGAGACAGAGAGACAAAGACAGAGACAGAGAGAGAGACAGAGACAGAGAGAAACAGACAGACAGACACAGACACAGAGAGAGACAGAAACAGAGACAGAGAGATTGAGCACTGAATCAGTTAGGACGACCTTGGTGTTATGAAAGGGTACTTTCAGTAAAGTCTTGGGAACAAAAGCCAAACTGTAAGGAGTTTAGAAGAATCAGTTAACTAGCCTACCAGTTAACTAGTTAATTCAGCCTACTATGTGCCAGGCATTGTGCTAAGTGCTCGGGAAACAAAGGCTAGTAAACAAATAAACAGTTCCTGCTCTCAAGCAGTTCACAGTTTAATGTGGAAACTTACAGTCTAGGGAGTAGAAGCATGAGATGTAGGTAGATTTTTAAGAAGCTTGGCAGAAAAAAAGGACAGTTTTTTTTCGAGACATGAGGAGGGCTAAATGTATTTGTAGGAAGATACAAAAGAACTCGTGTAGCGGAAGGGAATAAAAATGCATTAGGGGTGAGAGCAGGAGGCTGTGAGGAGAAGGAATGATACTGGAGCAAAGTACAGAAACGGACACAAATGTTAGTTAAGAACATGGGACACATTCCTCTGTGACAGGAGGGAGAATTGAGGAGGTAGAGTTAAGGAAGCTCTTCCTGGATAGCCTAGGTTCTTCTCAGTGATGTGGGAAGCTAAGTGATTTAGTGTTAAGTGTAACTACGAGAACATAGAAGTTAATGTGGGGGGGGGGGTACTGAAAAATAAGCCGAGATGTAAAGTTACAAGAGGTCTGCCCTTCAGTATAGACTAACTAGGACTGTTCTCTCTGAGTTTCTGTTCTCATTATATCATCCTGATTCATCTTATGACATCTCCAGGGTCTACCTTGCCCCACTTCCCTAGCAAGGAGGTGCCACAAGAACCTGTGATTGTTTTCAGGGGCACAAAAAATTCTATGAGGTTATTAATGTGTGTGGAAAGTCCGGATTCTTTTTCTCCATTTCTTTATTTTTCCTTGTCTCAAGCCATTTATAGTTCAGGTGACAATGAAGATCATAAGGATGTATGGACAGGGTGATCTCTGCTTTAGAAGGGACATGGCAGTCAAGTAACTTTGTTCCAAGGCAGAGCCAGCTCTGCTCTCTCATTAATCTGGATCCTCAATCCCAGATTTCTATGTAATCACAATATACTAAGCTTTGATTTGTACCCATACGATGGGAGCTAACAAACAGGAAAACCAAGTCACAGAGAAGGGACATAGAAGTCATGGAAAAGCATTTTCTAGTATACTGTACTCCATCCCTTCTGTGCCTTTTAATAAGTTTCATAGAATTTAAAACTAGAAAGGATCTTTTAAATTATTCATTCCAATCATCTCCTTTTACAAATGAGGAATCTGATTCCCAAAGAAGGAGAGTCATTTAGACTGCCCAAGGTTACATAGGTAGCAAGTGGCAAAGCTGAGATAAAAACTTAGCTCTTCTAACCCCTAACCAAATGGTTTTTTTCCCTGGGCCATTTTTCCAGTTAAGTTGCTGGCTCCATAGCAACACCACTCTGAGGCTTCTGAGCCCTGAGCCACGATGGTCTCTGAACACAAAGGCTTGTCTCAACCATTCCAAACTGCAAGTATTAGCTCAGCTCTGTTCCAGGGACACCAGGGCCTTCCCTAGGGGTAGGAAATAAGAAGCTCCACTTGCTCCCTCCCCTAAGAATTAGACTCTGTAGCGGCCTCCCCTTAGACATAGCTCCCTCTTGTGGTCACTTCCTTCAGTTCCAGGCTCCTAGCCAAAGAGTACTAGATTGTTAGACAGCTAGAATATGAAAGGAGGATAGGAATCAAGAGACAATGGGCAGAGATAGGAATGGACAGAAAATGGGTGGATGTGTCATGGATTCAAGGGTATTCAAGGCAGGAATCACTCTTTCCCCACACCAGAATCCTGAGCCTGTGTTTCCTTTTCAGATTCCAAGGTCCAACCGAAGCTCTTCCCCCTAATCCGAGTCAGCTCTGATAGTGACTCAGTAGTCATAGGCTGCTTGGCTTACAGCTTCTTCCCAGAGCCTGTGAACATAACCTGGGAAAGTGGTTCCGAAGGCACAGTGAGGAGCTACCCAGCTGTGCTGATTGGCAGCACCTACACTCAAACCAGTGTGCTAGACCTTCCTGCGGATCAGTGCCCTGATACCAAGAGCTATCAGTGCCAAGTAGAACACTACACAGCTACTAACAACGTGGAGGTTTCCTGCGAAAGCTGCGAAGGTAAGAGGAAGAACTTGGAGCTTGCCCTGGGGGAGTTATACCCTTACCCCCCACACAAAACTCATGGAGAACACACACAAACACACACAGCCCTCATAATAAAAATAGATCACATTTATACAGCATTAAAAGATTGGCAAAGCACTTCCTGTACATGATCTCATTCGATCTTCACAATGACCATCTGAAGTCTGCACTAACCCCATTTTGAGATGAGGACCCTGAGGCTTAGGGAAGTTCCATGACTCACCAGATTCAAAATCCAGTAATCCACCCATTTATCCTTCCTGCCCCACTCTGCTCCCAAGTTTTCTTGGACCTATGGTGGTTTCACCTAACAAACCTTAGAGATGATCCCTGTGCTGTACTACTTCCAAAGGGAAGGTAGGCAGAAGCAGGACCTGAATGGAAAGCAGAAGATTAAGCTGAGGAGCTTCAGGAAAGGCTAAGAGTAGCTCTGGTTTCAGAAGGTGACTATGTTCTGTGTGTTTTGGTATCAACAGGGATCGACAAGGATACTGGTTGCACAACATCAACTACACATGTATCCCTGAGTCCTCCCTCCCTGGAGAGCTTGCTCCTGGGCACAGGCGTAAACCTGACATGTACACTCAGCGGCCTCAACGATGGTAATGGAGCCGAGTTTACCTGGACGCACATTTCAGACGAGTCATCAACTTCCAGCATTATCGAGGGAACACCTGAGAAGGACTCCAGTGGCAAGTACAGTGTGACCAGTGTCCTGGAGATCTGTGCTGAGGAGTGGCTCCGTGGGGATACTTTTTCCTGTACTGTGTCCCACTCTGAGATAGAAACTATTACCAAGACCATCGCCAAGGAACAAGGTGGGAACCAATTGGAAATGGGGGAGAATTTCAAGAGACCAAGGGTATGGAGGGGAGGAGCAGATGAAAAGAACTTATTTGTTTGGTTTGGGAAGAGATAAAAAGGGGGAAAGCGCTAGACACACAAAGGCAACAAAAGGTGAGTGGAACTAAGCCAATCCTATATCGGGCAAGATCACAGAGCTCAAAACTCCAAATTGAAAAAGGAGAGATGGGAAAAGACAGGAGATAGGAATTGCATTTTTAAAAATGAGGAGAAACAGGAAGATACGGAGACAGACATCAAGAGAGAAGGAAAGATAGGGAGAGATGGGACGCAGACAGTAAGAGAATAAAATTGATGGAGAGAGAAAAAAAAAACATGGAGAAAGTGAGAGATGAGAAGAGAGCGTGAAATAAAAAGGCACATCAAGAAAGGTCAAGGTAGAGGAAAAAGAGAGGGACCAAGAAAGAATGGAAGGCAGTGAAAGGATACAGAAAGAGACTGATGGAGAAATAAAGAAAAACAAATCTGTTATTCCCATCTTCCTCACCAGCCTATTGGGTACTCTAGGGCTGTTCTCCCTCAGTGTTCTCTGGTGGGCCCTAGGCTTTGCCTCATCTGCATTCCTAAAGGCATTCTACAACCTGAATAATCCTTTTAAATGATTCCCTTCCTACTAGGGAATTCCTCAGAACCTAGCTCTCTCTGATCATGTGTCTCTGCTCTTCCTGCCTAGTGACCCAGATACCACCCCAAGTCTACCTGCTGCCCCCATCTGCAGATGAACTAGCTTTAAATGAACTGGTCTCAATCACATGCCTGGTGAGGGGTCACAGCCCATCGGAAGCGTTGATACAGTGGCTGAAGGGGTCTGAGAAGTTGCCCGGAGAGGACTACATCATCAGTGGCCCTTACCCAGAACCAAAGGGCAACAGCACCTTTCTAATTTCCAGCATCCTCCAAGTCTCAGCCTCTGAATGGAAGGCAGAAAACAAATACACCTGTGTGGTAGGCCATGAAGCTCTTCCCCTGAACTTCACCCAGCAAACTATCGACCAATTCTCTGGTAAACCCACCAATGTCAATGTATCTGTCATCCTGTCTGATGTCTATGGCACTTGCTATTAAACCTAGCCTAAACCATCAGGCCCCCATCACTGCCCAGAAATTGAGTTACAAGGCAAGAGTGAAGGGGAAGTAGATCTATAGAAAAGTATCTAATGGAATAAATCTTGACACTCAGAAGCAACACTAGCCCTGTCCTCAGTGTCTGCGCCACAGCTAGTTCCCAGTAGCAGGGGAAGGGGGGAGGGGGAGGGAGCAAGGGTGGGGAGGAGTGGAATGTACTGGGGAAGAGGAAAGGAGAATGGGAAAGGGTATCCTATAATATGAGCCAAGCCAAGGTATTCATCATGGTTTCCCCACCCTTGCTAGGGTGGGGCTCAGAGACATGTTTTAGGGAAGGTCTTGGTCACTTTTCCCGATATAGTCAACACTTTATCAAGGACACTGTCCAACATCTCCAACTTGTAATCTGAGCCCTAATCCACCTGGGAAGGCAAGTTCCCACTTGTTTCCTTATGACTAATAAGATCCTAGAGTCAGAATAGAAACGGAGAGGTCTATTTCCAGCACTTATTAAGGATTTTATAATATGAAGAATCGTGTGCTAACCACAAAGTGAGTGAGCCAGAAGAGCAGGCCCAGAGCCTGCCTTCAAGGAGCTTATAGTCTGAGGAAGATAAAGGAGCAGCAGACTCATGGTCTGACCTAGGAAGACAGGGGGAGGAAGTAAACACCAAGGGAGTTCAGAGAGCCCAGAGGTAGACCTGTGAGGGATGTGTTCACAAGATAGCAAGTGGATCATCTTGAATGAAGCAAAAGGTGTGTTAGGGAATAATAGGAGATGAGGTTGGAAAAGAAAGTTGGGGCCTTGACTGTCAAGTTGAAGACTTTGTCCTGTGAGCAGAGGGATGCCACTAGAAGTTTCTGAGCAATAAAGTGTCAAGGTCAGAATAATGCATTTGTAACATGATTCTAGAAAGATGTTCAAGAAAACCATTTAGGTTATTTTACTACAATAACTCCATTGAGAGGTAATAAGGGCTTGAACTAGGCAGAATGAAGGAAAAAGAGAGTAAACCCCAGAAGAACAAAATAGATATATACACAATAGATTCAAATCTCATATATACACAGAGACAATAAAACAACACACAAGGTAACAGGCATGAAAGACACAAATACACATACACATAGTCACACATGATATGAATTTCCCTGGTAGTGTTGAGATAATGGCTACATTTTTTTTAACCTTTTACTTTTATCCTTTTAGGGTACCCTATATCCTTTTTTTCCTCTCCTTTCCCGTTAATATTTCTGTGTCCTAGGTATACCCCACACCTATCAGAGACCCTTCTACCATCGCCAAGTAAAATTTCTGGGGAGGGAGAGATTGAAGGATCTTCACACACCAAAGTAAATAACCCAGAAGCATAAAGGGATTTCTCAAATCTCTTCTGCCCCAGATATCCCTTCAGCAGAGGAGAGGGGGAGGTCCTGATTCATCTTAAGACTATGAGATTCCCTTTCTGAGAGGTTCAAAATTGAGTTGTTACCTGACTACCTGTGACAGTACCATTGACTCCCTGACACTAACATTAAAGGCCACCTCCTTAAGGAACTAGAGGCTCCAATCCCCAGAAAAACTTTCTGTTCTCTCCTCTCAACATCCACCACAATTCTCAGAGTGAGGCTGTGACTCTACTGTTCCAGGTTAGTAGCATCCTCATATGCTACTCATCCTCATAGCTACTCTAGACTTCATAGAACTCTCCCCTCCCCATCCCCAGATTAATCCTTTGTTCCTCAGTCCTTACTCTTCCTACGCAGACACCTGAGTCTTGTCTTTGGCCTAGTGTTTGAGAAAAACTGGGGTCTTTGTCACTTCTGTCTCTGTTTCTTATCATTTGAAGGCCCCACATATCCAAAATATCCTGCTCATGTTATTTAAAAGCCTTCCTCCTAATTAGAGGTAATAGACTTAGCCAAATCTTTACAGGGCTCATCTTCACTCTCAACTCTTCTTAATTACCATATAGGTTGGAAGTAAAAAATCAAATTGGAATCAAATGGAATCAAACCCAGTCCTCTGACTCCAAATCCAGTGGCCTTTACACCAGAATAGGAACCCTGGGTTCAACACCCAACTAACTTGCTAGGTGTGTAGTAATGGGCAAGCCACTTTACCATTCTGATCCTCTATTCTCTCATCTGTAAAACGGAGATATTTATACTACCTGATTCACAGGGCTATTTAGGATAAAGTGGTTTTATACCTTAAAGTGCTATAGAATTTGTAATTATCATTATTACAAAATTGTCTCCGAAAAAAGGATAGGCTTTGTGCCCCTGGGTAGGCCCTGAAGGACATGGGGTACCAGGAAATGAAAGTCACTGGAGAGCAAGGTTTCTGGGAGTGCCACACAGGGGGAACTTTGTATTGAAGCTTGACATCAGTAAGGGGAATATGTAGTCCTTGCCCTGGATGGATACCCGGGCTGATTAGGGAGATGGGACAACACATCAGATAGACAGCACAGCGCCAGAGAACCCATATGAAGCTGAGGAAAGATAGAGTATGGAAGCCACATTATGCAATAGTAAGAGTGCTAGCTCTGGAAGCTAAGGACCTGGGTTCAAATCCTACTTTTGGTGCTTACTACTTGTGTGACCTTGAACAAGTCATTTAATCTCTATAGGCCTCAATCCTCATCTGTAAAATCAGAGGTTCAGACTATCTGACCTCTAAGGTTTCTTCAATTGCAGATGTATGGCCTTTGAGTTATAGGCAAGACAAGGAACATGTTAGAACTGTGAGAAGAAATTCCAGATATAATACACATTCTTGAATTAATATTGAGTTCTGCCAAATCTCATGGAGCTATGGTCAGTGTAATGGGCTGCTTAGGCAGCTCAGGAGGACCAATCCTGTGTGACCTAGGGAAGAAGGGCATATAATGGCTGGATTGCTAGATAGCACCCCTTTCCTCTCAACAGCTGTTCCTACTGTATCTGTTGCCTCAACAACATTCAGTTGTCTCCAGGTCTTGTCATCCCAAGGGCTATAAAGAATTCCATAGGGATATGAGAACTCCATAAATGAGAACAAATTTGTAACAGTTTATCCTAGTTCTGGTAGTAAGCAAAAGCAGAGGCAGATTTCTCTCCAAGAAATTCTTCCAACATCCTGAGAACACCATCAAGGAGTTGTCATCAGGACTATTTAACTGCCCACTTGTTGTCATCACTTAATCTGACCATGCCACTGTAGATTGTAAATGGTTCATGTTTAGACGATGCTGTGTTCTGGTACTGGGTAATTTAAGAATAGAGCCATCTTCCTTTTCTAGCTCTTTATTTATTAATGGCTAGATGATTCAAGTTGGCTACATTGGGATGAATAAAAATGAAAAAGGTAAAATATACATATAATATATATACCATATAAGTATATACAACATATATGTATGTGCATATGTGTGTGCATGTGTATGCATATATGTGTGTGTATACCATTTGTTAGCTTAAGACACTGAATTTCTCAGCAATGACCAGACTATTCCCATCATCCCAATTACTTTCCTTTCTCCTTCCTTCATCCCAACTCTTATATTTGGTTGGGGGGAAGGGCGGAGGCAGGGAATTATTGGTCCCTTTCCTTCATCTGAGCAATTCTCCAGAAAGACTTATTCTGATTTCACCTGCTGAAGCAACTCGGGTCCTGGTAGCTTTATAAACTTCCCAGAATCTCATTTATGGACCTGCATCACCTCCAAGATGAGGATCACCCCAAAAAGACCTAAATCTCCTATGTTTGCCCATCATTCCTCAAACTAAACTCCTCTGATTCCACCATCACCAAAACTGCAAACCTCTTACAGCAGCTCCTTTGCCCACCTTCTTCAGACAAACAGTATTAATAGTATTTGTTAAGCCCTTATTAGGGGTAAGAACACTGTGTTTAGGATTCAGGGACAGGCCCTTATTGAGATAAATAAGAACATCTCTAGCACTGTGGAACTTACAGTCTAATAACAGGACATAACTACATACACAAATAACTAAAGCAGAATGATAATAGGTGGCATGCCTATAGAACTTTATGATTTATGCAGAACTTCCTTTACAAGATATTTGTGTATTAAGTATATAACCAACTTACAGATGAGAAAATTGAAGTTCAGAGAGGTTTAAGGACTTTTCCAAAGTCATGTCACCAGCAAGGTGAAAAGCCACTACCAGCTGTAGCTTCTCATGGCATGGGTTTTCTTGACAGTATCTGCATTAGGAAAGTACAGACTAAATGCTCAGGAGGTTGACCAAAGAAGAATAAGGAGCTATCCTAGGGATAATGAACAGAGTGAGTCAATGTATAGGAAAACCCAAAATGTGTTTGATGATCCAGTTTGGCTAGGCAATTGAGTATGTGCAAGAGAGTACTGTGACATAATCTTGGAAAGGGAGGGGAGCAACAATTTGACTTTGTCTTATAGGCAATGGGTAACTGTAAAAGGTTTTTGAGTAGGGAATTCATGGGATCAAAGTCAATCATTGAAAGAATACACTGGGGGCAGCTAGGTGGTGCAGTGGATAGAGCACCGGTCCTGAAGTCAGGAGGACCTGAGTTCAAATCTGGCCTCAGACCAAACACTTGACACTTACTAGCTGTGTGACCCTGGGCAAGTCACTTAACCCCAATTGCCTAAAAGCAAAAAAAAAAAAAAAAGAATATGCTGACAGCCAGCATAAGTAAGAATGATAAAGTTCAGAATGAAGACTCATTATGCTATGGACAACAAAAAACAGGTTTTTAAGTTGCTAGGTGTAGTCCTTTAAAAAGTCCCACTCTAATGCCTCAAGAGAGGGCTTAAGAGGCTGCTTAAAGGCTGTACCAACAGAGCACAGATTCTATCAGGATCTATCATTCTTGAAAGGCATTGGGTAAACTGTTGACAAAACACTGAATCTACTTTCTGAAGTATAGAGATGCTCATCACCGTGAAGCTGGCCTCTCTATACAATAAAATTTTTGGCCATGGCAACTCATAGAACAAATTAAAATACAAGACAGTACTCACTCCTATATGGCTCCCTTCTGGTGGCAGAAAAAGGGGCAGAAGTACTAAGAAACTTTAAATGGTCCTTAAGCCATCTCTAAATATTAACTTAATCGTTAGCATTCTA